AATGCTGTGGGGATGTTTTTCAGTGGCAGGGACTGGGAGACTAGTCAGGATCGAGGGAAAGATGAAGGGTGCAAAGTACAGAGAGATCCTTGATGAAAACCTGCTCCAGAGCACTCAGGACCTCAGACTGGGGCGAAGGTTCACCTTCCAAAAAGAAAACAACCCTAAGCACACAACCAAGACAACGCAGGAGTGGGTTCGGGACAAGTCTCTGAATTTCCTTGAGTGGCCCAGCCAGAGCCCGTACTTGAACCCCGATCTAACATCCTCTGGAGAGACCTGGAAATAGCTGTGCAGAAACGCTCCCCATCCAACCTGACAGAGCTTGAGAGGATCTGCAGAGAAGAATGGGAGAAACTCCCCAAATATAGGTATGCCAAGCTTTTAGCCTCATACCGAAGAAGACTGTAATCACTTCCAAAGGTGCTTCAACAAAGTACTGAGTAAATGGTCTGTATACTTATGTAAATGTGTAATTTCAGTATTTAATTTTGTATACATTTGCTAAAATTTCTAAAAACATATTTTTGCTTTGTCATTATGGGGTATTGTGTGTAGATTGATGAGGGGGAAAAAAAAAGATTTAATCAATTTTAGAATAAGGCTGTAATGTAATAAAATGTGGAAAAAGACCAGGGGTCCGAATGCTTTCTGAATGCACTGTATAATGATCATATATATAATAAAAAGGCACTGTGTCTGTGTGTGTGTGTGTGTGTATATACAGTTGAAGTCAGAAGTTTACATACACCTTAGCCAAATACATTGAAACTCAGTTTTTCACAATTCCTGACATTTAATCCTAGTAAAAAATCCCTGTTTTAGGTCAGTTAGGATCACCACATTATTTTAAGAATGTGAAATTTCAGAATAATAGTAGAAAGAATTATTTATTTAAGCTTTTATTTATTTAATCACATTCCCAGTGGGTCAGAAGTTTACATACACTCAATTAGTATTTGGTAGCATTGCCTTTAAATTGTTTAACTTGGGTCAAACGTTTCGGGTAGCCTTCCACAAGCTTCCCACAATAAGTTGGGTGAATTTTGGCCCATTCCTCCTGACAGAGCTGGTGTAACTGAGTCAGGTTTGTAGGCCTCCTTGCTCACACACGCTTTTTCAGTTCTGCCCACAAGTGTTCTATAGGATTGAGGTCAGGGCGTTGTGATGGCCACTCCAATACCTTGACTTTGTTGTCCTTAAGCCATTTTGCCACAACTTTGGAAGTATGCTTGGGGTCATTATCCATTTGGAAGACCCATTTGTGACCAAGCTTTAACTTCCTGACTGATGTCTTGAGATGTTGCTTCAAATATCCACAGAATTTTCCTTCCTCATGATGCCATCTATTTTGTGAAGTGCACCAGTCCCTCCTGCAGCAAAGCACCCCCACAGCATGATGCTGCCACTATTGTTTGTACAGATGAACGCGGTACCTTCAGGCGTTTGGAAATTGCTCCCAAGGATGAACCAGACTTGTGGAGGTCTACAAATGTTTTTTCTGAGGTCTTGGCTGATTTCTTTTGATTTTGCAATTATGTCAAGCAAAGAGGCACTGACTTTGAATGTAGGCCTTGAGATACATCCACAGGTACACCTCCAATTGACTCAAATTATGTCAATTAGCCTATCAGAAGCTTTTAAAGCCATGACACACTTTCTGGAATTTTTCAAGCTGTTTAAAGGCAGAGTCGACTTAGTGTACAGTGGGGGAAAAAAGTATTTAGTCAGCCACCAATTGTGCAAGTTCTCCCACTTAAAAAGATGAGAGAGGCCTGTAGTTTTCATCATAGGTACACGTCAACTATGACAGACAAAATGAGAATTTTTTTTTCCAGAAAATCACATTGTAGGATTTTTATGAATTTATTTGCAAATTATGGTGGAAAATAAGTATTTGGTCACCTACAAACAAGCAAGATTTCTGGCTCTCACAGACCTGTAACTTCTCATTTAAGAGGCTCCTCTGTCCTCCACTCGTTACTTGTATTAATGGCACCTGTTTGAACTTGTTATCAGTATAAAAGACACCTGTCCACAACCTCAAACAGTCACACTCCAAACTCCACTATGGCCAAGACCAAAGAGCTGTCAAAGGACACCAGAAACAAAATTGTAGACCTGCACCAGGCTGGGAAGACTGAATCTGCAATAGGTAAGCAGCTTGGTTTGAGGAAATCAACTGTGGGAGCAATTATTAGGAAATGGAAGACATACAAGACCACTGATAATCTCCCTCGATCTGGGGCTCCACGCAAGATCTCACCCCGTGGGGTCAAAATGATCACAAGAACGGTGAGCAAAAATCCCAGAACCACAAGGGGGAACCTAGTGAATGACCTGCAGAGAGCTGGGACCAAAGTAACAAAGCCTACCATCAGTAACACACTACGCCGCCAGGGACTCAAATCCTGCAGTGCCAGACGTGTCCCCCTGCTTAAGCCAGTACATGTCCAGGCCCGTCTGAAGTTTGCTAGAGTGCATTTGGATGATCCAGAAGAGGATTGGGAGAATGTCATATGGTCAGATGAAACCAAAATAGAACTCTTTGGTAAAAACTAAACTCGTCGTGTTTGGAGGACAACGAATGCTGAGTTGCATCCAAAGAACACCATACCTACTGTGAAGCATGGGGGTGGAAATATCATGCTTTGGGGCTGTTTTTCTGCAAAGGGACCAGGACGACTGATCCGTGTAAAGGAAAGAATGAATGGAGCCATGTATCGTGAGATTTTGAGTGAAAACCTCCTTCCATCAGCAAGGGCATTGAAGATTAAACGTGGCTGGGTCTTTCAGCATGACAATGATCCCAAACACACCGCCCGGGCAACGAAGGAGTGGCTTTGTAAGAAGCATTTCAAGGTCCTGGACTGGCCTAGCCAGTCTCCAGATCTCAACCCCATAGAAAATCTTTGGAGGGAGTTGAAAGTCCGTGTTGCCCAGCGACAGCCCCAAAACATCACTGCTCTAGAGGAGATCTGCATGGAGGAATGGGCCAAAATACCAGCAACAGTGTGTGAAAACCTTGTGAAGACTTACAGAAAACATTTGACCTGTGTCATTGCCAACAAAGGGTATATAACAAAGTATTGAGAAACTTATGTTATTGACCAAATACTTATTTTCCATCATAATTTGCAAATAAATTCATAAAAAATCCTACAATGTGATTTTCTGGATTTTTTTTTCCTCATTTTGTCTGTCATAGTTGACGTGTACCTATGATGAAAATTACAGGCCTCTCAACTTTTTAAGTGGGAGTACTTGCACAATTGGTGGCTGACTAAATACTTTTTTTCCCCACTGTATGTAAACTTCTGACCCACTGGAATTGTGATACAGTGAATTATAAGTGAAATAATCTGTGTGTAAACAATTGTTGGAAAAATTACTTGTGTCATGCACAAAGTAGATGTCCTAACCGACTTGCCAAAACTATAGTTTGTTAACAAGAAATTTGTGGAGTGGTTGAAAAATGAGTGTGTATATATATATATATATATATATATATATGTATGTATGTATGTATGTATGTGTGTGTATGTGTATGTATATATATATGTATATATATGTATGTGTGTGTGTGTCTTTTTATTTCTATTAAATTAGCAAACATTTCTGAACCTGTTTTTGCTTTGTCATTATGGGGTATTGGGTATAGATTGAGGATTTAATTTTTTGTTTGTTTTAGAATAAGGCTGTAACGTAACAAAATATGAATAAAGTCAAGGGGTATGAATACTTTCCGTGGTCAAAAGTTTTGAGAATGACACAAATATTAATTTTCACAAAGTCTGCTGCCTCAGTTTTTATGATGGCAATTTGCATATACTCCACAATGTAATGAAGAGTGATCAGATGAATTGCAATTAATTGCAAAGTCCCTATTTGCCATGAAAATAAACTTAATCCCAAAAAAACATTTCCACTGCATTTCAGCCCTGCCACAAAAAGACCAGCTGACATCATGTCTGTGATTCTCTCGTTAACACAGGTGAGAGTGTTGACGAGGACACTCTGTCATGCTGATTGAGTTAGAATAACAGACTGGAAGCTTTAAAAGGAGGGTGGTTCTTGAAATCATTGTTCTTCCTCTGTTAACCATGGTTACCTGCAAGAAAACACATGCCGTCATAATTGCTTTGCACAAAAAGGGCTTCACAGGCAAGGATATTGCTGCTAGTAAGATTGCACCTAAATCAACCATTTATCGGATCATCAAGAACTTCAAGGACAGAGGTTCAATTGTTGTGAAGATGGCTTCAGGGCACCCAAGAAAGTCCAGCAAGCGTCAGGACCGTCTCCTAAAGTTGATGCAGCTGCTGGATTGGGGCACCACCAGTGCAGAGCTTGCTCAGGAATGGCAGCAGTCAGGTGTGAGTGCATCTGCACGCACAGTGAGGCAAAGACTTTTGGAGGATGGCCTGGTTTCAAGAAGGGCAGCGAGGAAGCCACTTCTCTCCAGGAAACACATCAGGGACAGACTGATATTCTGCAAAAGGTACAGGGATTGGACTGCTGAGGACTGGGGTAAAGTAATTTTCTCTGATGAATCCCCTTTCCGATTGTTTGGGGCTTCCGGAAAAAAGCTTGTCCGGAGAAGACAAGGTGAGCGCTACCATCAGTCCTGTGTCATGCCAACAGTAAAGCATCCTGAGACCATTCATGTGTGGGGTTGCTTCTCAGCCAAGGGAGTGGGCTCACTCACAATTTTGCTTAAGAACACAGCCATGAATAAAGAATGGTACACATCCTCCGAGAGCAACTTCTCCCAACCATCCAAGAACAGTTTGGTGACGAACAATGCCTTTTCCAGCATGATGGAGCAACTTGCCATAAGGCAAAAGTGATAACTAAGTGGCTCGGGGAAGAAAACATCGACATTTTGGGTCCATGGTCAGGAAACTCCCCAGACCTTAATCCTCTCTCTGTGTTCTCTCTCTGTCTCCCCCTACAGGAGTTTGATGATCGGGGTGTTCTCTCTCTGTCTCCCCCTACAGGAGTTTGTGATGATCGGGGTGTTCTCTCTCTGTCTCCCCCTACAGGAGTTTGTGATGATCGGGGTGTTCTCTCTCTGTCTCCCCCTACAGGAGTTTGTGATGATCGGGGTGTTCTCTCTCTGTCTCCCCCTACAGGAGTTTGTGATGATCGTGGTGTTTGGTCTGGAATACGTTGTGAGGGTTTGGGCGTCCGGCTGCTGCTGTCGCTACAGAGGATGGCAGGGGAGACTACGCTTCGCCAGAAAACCCTTCTGTGTCATAGGCAAGACACTGTGTGTGTGTGTCTGTTTACCTACAAGAAAATGTGTATGTGCACTTACAATGTGCATTTTGATACATGAGGTTGGTTGATTGATTGCATTTAATTGATGATTAGAAGTAGCAGGCTGCTCCAGCCAGAGACAACATGACATACATTGTTTCCCAAGAGCAATAGCTAATGCATAGTTAATGATCTATTGATATGTGCCTGAGTTTACTGGGACTGAGTGTGTGTACTGGATGTGCAATGTGCATCTCTCTCTTTCTCTCACCCCCCTCTCGCTCTCCTCTCTTTCTCCTTTCTCCCCCTCTACTTTTTCACCCCCCCCCTCTTTCTCCCCCTCTACTCTTTCACCCCCCCCCCCGCCTTTCTCCCCCCCTCTTCCCTCCATAGACTTCATAGTGTTTGTGGCGTCGTTGGCGGTGATCGCAGCGGGCACCCAGGGAAACATCTTTGCCACCTCTGCCCTGCGCAGCATGCGGTTCCTCCAGATCCTCCGGATGGTACGCATGGACAGACGAGGAGGCACCTGGAAACTACTGGGCTCTGTGGTCTACGCCCACAGCAAGGTGGGCACACACACCAACACACACAGTGGATGATGAAACGACTAGTATTAGTGATATGTGGTCAAAGCAAAATGAGGGTGGGAGTTAGACTGTATGACCACCACAAGACACCCACATATACTGTACACATACTGAAAGGTTGGGGTCACTGACCTCAAACTATATCCCCCTTAGACTGGTAATTAGGCTGAACTCTGAAAAAGTAACAGCCAAATACACCACACACACACACACACACACACACACACACACACACGGTGATGTCAGGTGATGATGATTATAGTGTTGTCCATTGATGATGATGATGATTTAGTTTTTTCAGGTGATGTTGATGATTATAGTGTTGTCAGGTGGTGATGATTATAGTGTTTTCAGGTGATGGTTATTATTGTATTGTCAGGTGATGATTATAGTGTTTTCAGGTGATGATGATGATGATGATTATAGTATTGTCAGATGATGATGATTATAGTATTGTCAGGTGATGAGATGATGATGATGATTGTAGTGTTGTCAGGTGATGATGATGGGTTTGCTCTTTAATGTTTGGCATATATTGATTGATGTTAATTGATTATGGTTTTGATGATATTATGATAATAACTACCCCCCTCCCCCTTTCTCTGTCTCAGGAGCTCATTACAGCGTGGTACATTGGTTTCCTGGTCCTGATCTTTGCCTCCTTCCTGGTTTACCTGGCAGAGAAGGACGTCAACACAGAGTTCAACACCTACGCAGACTCCCTCTGGTGGGGAACGGTCAGTACCACATACTCACTCACTCTCTCACTCACTCACACACACACACACACACACACACACACACACACGAAAGATGGCGTTGCAGTGGATAGCAGCCTGCTATTGTTGGAAAAGGACCCGTACGCATTTCAGTTAGTCTACACCTGTTGTTTACGAAGCATGTGACAAATAACATTTGATTTGATTTGACACACAGAGACCCACTGACTTGGGTATAAAATTCCCTTACTCCAGATCTAGGATGAGACTCACCAATAGACAATAAGGTCTCTCTAGTACCATGCAGTAATCTAAATCAAGACCGTTTCTGTTTTACTAGTATAGCTCTCTATAGTATTTACCACTAGAAGACTTCTTCTCACACTCTGTGTGTGTGTGTGTGGGTTTCTACACCCAGATAACTCTCACCACCATCGGCTATGGTGACAAGACACCCCGCACCTGGTTGGGGCGGCTCCTAGCTGCCGGCTTCGCGCTCCTGGGTGTGTCCTTCTTCGCCCTTCCTGCCGTGAGTCTCTCTCATTGGTCCACATCACTGTCAGTTCCCCTCCCAGCCAATCGGAGCTCATGCCTTTGGCCCTCCCTCTGACCCCTCTCTCAGGGTATCCTGGGGTCAGGCTTTGCCCTGAAGGTGCAGGAGCAGCACAGACAGAAGCACTTTGAGAAGAGGAGGACTCCTGCTGCCAACCTTATACAGGTGACCTCATATAGCTCAGGTAGCATCCACTCAATCAACAGACTAGGTCATGACAACTGAACCCAGCAACAAATTCCTGTAAGATTGAATAATTTTTCTTTAGTGGCTGAAGGTGTGTATGTGTTCCAGGCTGCGTGGCGTCTGTACTCTACTGATGCCCAGCACTCCTACCTGACAGCCACATGGTACTTCTATGACAGCATGCTTCCATCCTTCAGGTAGGTACTCCCCTCCTCTCCAATAATGCCGCCGTTGGGTGGTTATGTGTTGCTGCTGGTCGACCCATGGATTTAACCATCCCCAATGCACGTGAAATTAAAAGGACAAAATGTTTGTACAGGTAGATTTGACTTAGGTGTGACTTGGAGTAGCAAGCGTGTCTCACCTATCCTAAAATAATGTGGTTTTGAAAGCCAGCTGACACTGCTTGAACATTGAGAGAGCATTATAGGGAGATTAGGACAGGCTGTACAGATGAATTATAGGATCTAGGAAGAGAACCTAAATGTAACTTGCACCTACAGTTGAAGTCAGAAGTTTACAAACACCTTAGCCAAATACATTTAAACTCAGTTTTTCACATTTCCTGACATTTAATCCTAGTAAAATTCCCTGTTTTAGGTCATTTAGGATCACCACTTTATTTTAAGAATGTGAAATGTCAGAATAATAGTAGAGAGAATGATTTATTTCAGCTTTTATTTCTTTCATCACATTCCCATTGGGTCAGAAGTTTACATACACTAAATTAGTATTTCATAGCGTTGCCTTTAAATTGTTTAATTTGGGTCGAACGTTTCGGGTAGCCTTCCACAAGCTTCCCACAATAAGTTGGGTGAATTTTGGCCCATTCCTCCTGACAGAGCTGGTGTAACTGAGTCAGGTTTGTAGGCCACCTTGCTCGCACATGCTTTTTCAGTTCTGCCCACAAGTGTTCTATAGGATTGAGGTCAGGGCTTTGTGATGGCCACTCCAATACCTTGACTTTGTTGTCCTTAAGCCATTTTGCCACAACTTCGGAAGTATGCCTGGGGTCATTGTCCATTTGGAAGACCCATTTGCGACCAAGTTTTAACTTCCTGACTGATGTCTTGAGATGTTGCTTCAATATATCCACATCATTGTCCTTCCTCATGATGCCATCTATTTTGTGAAGTGCACCAGTCCCTCATGCAGCAAAGCACCCCCACAGCATTATGCTGCCACCCCCGTGCTTCACGGTTGGGATCGTGTTCTTCGGCTTGCAAGCATCCTCCTTTCTCCTCCAAACATAACGATGGTCATTATGGCCAAACAGTTCTATTTTTGTTTCATCAGACCAGAGGACATTCTCCAAAAAGTATGATCTTTGTCCCCATGTGCAGTTGCAAACCGTAGTCTGGCTTTTTTATGGCGGTTTTGGAGCAGTGGCTTCTTCCTTGCTGAGCGGCCTTTCAGGTTATGTCGATATAGGACTCGTTTTACTGTGGATATAGATACTTTTGTACCTGTTTCCTCCAGCATCTTCACAAGGTCCTTTGCTGTTGTTCTGGGATTGATTTGCACTTTTCGCACCAAAGTACGTTCATCTCTAGGAGACAGAACTCGTCTCCTTCCTGAGCGGTATGACGGCTGCGTGGGCCCATGGTGTTTATACTTGCGTACTATTGTTTGTACAGATGAATGCGGTACCTTCAGGCGTTTGGAAATTGCTCCCAAGGATGAACCAGGCTTGTGGAGGTCTACAATTTCTTTTCTGAGGTCTTGGCTGATTTCTTTTGATTTTCCCATGATGTCAAGCAAAGAGGCACTGAGTTTGAATGTAGGCCTTGAGATACATCCACAGGTACACCTCCAATTGACTCAAATGATGTCAATTAGCCTATCAGAAGCTTCTAAAGCCATTTTCTGGAAATTTCCAAGCTGTTTAAAGGCACTAGTCAACTTAGTGTATGTAAATTTCTGACCCACTGGAATTGTGATACAGTGAATTATAAGTGAAATAATCTGTCTGTAAACAATTGTTGGAAAAATTACTTGTGTCATGCACAAAGTAGATGTCCTAACCGACTTGCCAAAACTATAGTTTGTTAACAAGAAATTTGTGGAGTGGTTGAAAAACGATTTTTAATGACTCCAACCTAAGTGTATGTAAACTTCCGACTACAACTGTACATATAATAAATATGACACACACACACACACACACACACACACACACACACATGAACATACACACATGTACAAAAATGATCAATATCCCAGCAATTGAGTTGGTTTTACCAGTGGTGACCGTGGGCATTCTATCCTCCTGATCTAAAATGGTGGGGTGCACTTTCATTCATTTTCATTCTCCCTTTTTAAGTTCTGCACGTTTCTCCATTGTTTATCTGTTCATTTCTTAAGATTGTATTCTCCTATTTTATGTAAGTATTTACATATTAATTTGACTAATTTTGTTTGTTTAAAAAGATGGGGGACTTTCATGATTTACATTTGCCATTTTTGCCTCTTAGCTCTGTGTCCAGTAACAAAAGTGTGTTGATGGCGCCATCAATATTTCTCAGACTTCATTTTGATGAATTACATATAAATGATCCCCCTCTTTTTAATGTTTTGACCCTTGATTTGACATCCTTTTTATAAGTTGTTGTTTTGTCGTTTCTTTCTTTTGTTTTTGTTTTTTGTGCACATGGGGTCAGAGAACTGACTCTACTGTTCAGTCACCTTCAGCGACGGCGTAGTGCCAAGAAGGTCCTTCACAACTCCCACCACACCCTGCTGTCCGGGCTACGGCCCTACAGCTCCCCCTACCTGTCAGGGGACAGGTACGCATGTACTACACACACACACACACACACACACACAGAGATATACGACAGACTGATATATACAGTGGCTTGCGAAAGTTTTCACCCCCTTGGCATTTTTCCTATTTTGTTGCCTTACAACCTGGAATTAAAATAGATTTTTTGGGGGTTTGTATCATTTGATTTACACAACATGCCTACCACTTTGAAGATGCAAAATATTTTTTCTTATGAAATAAGACAAAAAAACAGACCTTGAGCATGCATAAGTCAATACTTTGTAGAGCCACCTTTTGCAGCAATTAATAAGCTTGGCACATCTAGCCACTGGGATTTTTGCCCATTCTGCAAGGCAAAACTGCTCCAGCTCCTTCAAGTTGGATGAGATCTGCTGGTGTACAGCAATCTTTAAGTCATACCACAGATTCTCAATTGGATTGAGGTCTGGCTTTTGACTAGGCCATTCCAAGACATTTAAATGTTTCCCCTTAAACCACTCAAGTGTTGCTTTAGCAGTATGCTTAGGGTCATTGTCCTGCTGGAAGGTGAACCTCCGTCCTAGTCTCAAATCTCTGGAAGACTGAAACCGGTTTCCCTCAAGAATTTCCCTGTATTTAGCGCCATCCATCATTCCTTCAATTCTGACCAGTTTCCCAGTTTCCCAGTCCCTGCCAATGCAAAAACATATCCACAGCATGATGCTGCCACCACCATGCTTCACTGTGGGGATGGTGTTCTTAGGGTGATGAGAGGTGTTGGGTTTGTGCCAGACATAGCGTTTTCCTTGATGGTCAAAAAGCTCAATTTTAGTCTCATCTGACCAGAGTACGTTCTTCCATATGTTTGGGGAGTCTCCCACATGCCTTTTGGAGAACACCAAACGTGTTTGCTTATTTTTTTCTTTAAGCAATGGCTTTTTTTCTGGCCACTCTTCTGTAAAGCCCAGCTCTGTGGAGTGTACGGCTTAAAGTGGTCCTATGGACAGATACTCTAATCTCCGCTGTGGAGCTTTGCAGCTCCTTCAGGGTTATCTTTGGTCTCTTTGTTGCCTCTGATTAATGTCGTACTTGCCTGGTCTGTGAGTTTTGGTGGGCGGCCCTCTCTTGGCAGGTTTGTTGTGGTGCCATATTCTTCCCATTTTTTTATAATAATAATGGATTTAATGGTGCTCCGTGGGATGTTCAAAGTTTCGAATATTTTTTTATAACCCAACCCTGATCTGTACTTCTCCACAACTTTGTCCCTGACCTGTTTGGAGAGTTCCTTGGTCTTCATGGTGCCACTTGCTTGGTGGTGCCCCTTGCTTAGTGGTGTTGCAGACTCTGGGGCCTTCCAGAACAGGTGTATATATACTGAGATCATGTGACACTTAGATTGCACACAGGTGGACTTTATTTAACTAATTATGTGACTTCTGAAGGTAATTTGTTGCACCAGATCTTATTTAGTGGCTTCATAGCAAAGGGGGTGAATACATACGCACGCACCACTTTTCCGTAATTTATTTTTTAGAATTGTTTGAAACAAGTTATTTTTTTCATTTCACTTCACCAATTTGGACTTTTGTGTATGTCCATTACATGAAATCCAAATAAAAATCCATTTAAATTACAGGTTGTAATGCAGCAAAATAGGAAAAACGCCAAAGGGGATGAATACTTTTGCAAGGCACTGTAGATGCATACTGACATATACACAGGAAAAGATCACCGTGACACACGCACTCACTCACACGCTCTCATTTGTGACTGTGGTTCACCAGAGGATACCGCGGGTTTAACTCCTTATAGCATCGAGCTGGTTTAGAAAGAAATGCTGGCTGTTCCCTGGTCTGTGGTTCCTGTGTGGATGTGCTGTTGTGTATATAACCACCTGTCACTAATACTGATTCCAGACCTGTGTGTAATTAACAGCACCACCTGCTCCATCTCTGTCTGCCTCTCATTCACTTTCCTCGTCTGATTCATCCTCATGTCAACTCCATCACCCTCATCCATTCATCCTCTCTCTCTCTCTCTCTCTCTCTTCTCTCTCTCCTCTCTCTCTCTCTCTCTCTCTCTCTCGTCATCTGCTTCTCTTCCATGCCTTCCCTCCTTCAACCCTGTTCTCAGGAAGGCAGAAGTCCCTTGCAGGTTTGTTCTTGTCTTCTGAATGTGTGTGTCTCTGCATTCTCTCTCTGACAAATCCAGCTAGGAAGTCCTCTGATCATACAGGCATGGTTCCAACATAGTAATGGGAAAAACAATGGGGGACAACCCAGCATGACAGATGCATACAATAACATGCCATGTTTTCCAAGGTATATGTTTGGTCTTGTAGCCCCTCAATATGAACCAGATTATACTGTATTTGTTGTACAGTAGATTGAATAGTACTGCATGTACAGAAATACCTAATTAACACACATTGATGGCAGTGTGTCTCCCAAGTCAAAAAGCCAATGGATAGGTGTGGAGCTAATTACTTAGACCTTCTGGAAAGGCGACTGAAGTCTAATCATGGATATACTCAAGTGGACTGCTTCCTCTACATACTCTCCTACTACCTACAGTACATCCCCAACTCAACACCTCCCTCCTCAATGGGGTGTGTGTCTCAGTAAATTGATGTAGCTTTCTTTCGTTGCCTCCTTTCCTTCGTCTGGTCTGAAACCAAAGATGTAGGCGAAAGCAATATGTTGGGGGCCAACAGGGACACATGCTTTCACTGGCAAACCTTCAAGGTGAAAGGAAGCCATTTAAGACTGTTGAGTTGCAGTAGTGGGCTACTCCTTTTCACCTCCCTCTGCCCCTCACCTTTCTGATCTCACTACCTGCGTACCCTGCCTCCTCTCTCCCAATTATCCTTTCCTCCTCCTCCTCTTCTCCCCCCCACCCCCTCTTCTTCTCCTCCCCACCCCCTCTTCTTCTCCTCCTCTTCTCTCCATTTCTTCTCTCCTCCTCTTAATCTCCTCCTCTTCCTTTCCTCCTCTTCCTTTCCTCCTCTGCACCCCTCACCCTTTCTTCTCCTCCTCTCCTCTTCTCCTCTCCTCTTCTCCTCTCTCCTCCTCCTCTTCTCCTTCGTCCTCTTCCTCTTCTCCTCTCCTCCTCCTCTCCTCCTCTTCTCCTCACCCTCCCTCTGCCTTGTGTCTCCTCAGTCAGTTTGTTTCTAAAAAGCGGGGTCTCTTCTGGATTCACGCTGGCCGCAAGCAGCAGAGGTATCCACGGTGACAAGCCTGTGCACGGGGCACGCCAGCACCCCATCCTCCCTTACTCACACACTACCCCCTTCACTCTGCCTGAGAGTCCCAAAGCCTTCTGGCCCAGTGCAGTGTGTGTCTCTGTAAATTTTCTCCTTCGAATAAGGAGTTGGTGCCTCGAAATATCCCACTTTCAATAAGGAGTTGGTTTTAGTCTCTTCATTTAGCATAGTGTGAAGACACTCGTCATTGAGGATGGTCATCAGGCTAAAAATGGCTGAAATTTGGTTGAACATAAATTGCAATTGTAATTGATCTTTGAGAATGGGAAACACTGTGCTCTGGTGTAGACATATTGGACTGAGCCTTTACTGTGTGAGTTAATGACAGGGTGTTCTGTTTAAAGGACAACTGTTGTAAACCACTTTCTTTCAGTGAACTGGAGGACACAATAAACCATGCATTCTTTATTGGAAAACCAAAGGAATTCTTAGGAATGTTTCATGGTTTATGTGGATCTAATGTCAGCATTGGCCTCCTCACACTCTTACAGATTTTTTTAAAATAACATATTTAACCTTTTGTACAGAAGGTTGTGCAAAATGTTTTTTTTATTTTTTATGAAAAGGTCAAATAGTTAGAAAGTCACGCATTCTGTTTTCTTAATACAGTTGCATGACTGTTAATTGTACACATTTTTCACGCATGCTTTCTTTGATCAATTCTGCTCTGTAGTGATTTCTGGAGAGATGGTTCAAATTATTCTGCATGCAATGCAACCATATCCGTGTTGTACTTTTGCGAATCGTTCCCACTCAACAAAAACCCATGTAGAAACATTTCCCTCCCGATAGATTTTTCCCTCTCGTCTGCTAAAGTGTTTCTCTTCAAATCCTTTGCTCAGTATACCGTGCATGTCTTTGGAGGATATAGCTGTATTTTTCACCCTAAATACGTCCCTTTTATTTTATTTCCTTCCCAATGGCATGCAAAGGGCTAACAGTAATTCAACATCTTACTCTGTCCACCCTCCCCCTAAGTCAACCTGAGCATTTCAGCTCCGACGTATGAAATGCCATTTCCCCTAATGGTCTTTCAGCTATTGAAATATTAATTTAAATGGCAGGCCAGCGCACAAACAAGGATTATATCAGCGTAAACAACATGTCTCTAATCGTTCTCTGGTGCGTGACATTTGAAATGCTTTGTGAATTTGTAACATGTAAGTGGTCAGAGTGTACGTCCCAAATTGCACCCTATTCCCTATATATACACCTTTTAACCTATGGGCCCTGGTCATAAGTAGTGCATTATAAAGGGAATAGGGTGCTGTTTGGAACGTAAACAGAGAGAGATTAAAGTACATTCTCAATGCTACAGTACCTTATGGGTATAGAGTACTGACTGTTAGGAGGACTCTGTTGTCTTGAATGGCCTCATGCTGTCTTCTCAGTGGAAAACAGACATCCTCAGCCGCTCTCGTTATGCCTTACTGTGCATAATAGCAGTCTGGTTAAGGGGTTTGGTGAGAGATAGAGATGCCATCCCTGTCATAGTGTTGATGCCCATGTGCTTATTCACACTTGGAAGTGCATACATTGCTTTTGGAAAATATTCAGAACCCTTTACTTTTTCCATATTTTCTAACGTTACAGCCTTATTCTAAAATGGATAAAATTGATTTTTTTCCCTCATCAATCTACACACAATACCCCATAATGACGAAGCGAAAACAGGTTTTTAGAAAATTTAACTTTTTCCCTTTCGTCTGCTAAAATGTTTCTCTTCAAATCCTTTGCTCAGTATACCGTGCATGTCTTTGGAGGATATAGCTGTAT